CCAGCACTGATCACGTCACTAGTCATAAGGAATCTCACGGATTGGTTCCCTGACTGCCTTAAAACCCAATCAACCTACTTACTTACTCACTTGGCCTGACGAAGCTTTTATGTCAAAAGCGAAACGTTGCCCAGCAATAAATCCACCGATTGCTTACGAAACCCCTCAGAAACGATGACTTCCCAATCGGTCCCAAACATTTTCCAACAGTCGGATCTAGTTCACTTGTGAGAACGTCCCTGGGGCGCTAACAACTGCGCTCATGATGGGCCACGGTCATGACACAATGGCTGAAGCCCGGATTTCCGGAGACAGCCCGAGGAGTTTATGAGAATCAGGTCGGTAATGTGTTGAAATATTGGAAGCTCGGGTGAGTTTATTGGTTGTTGATGAGGTGGCTGTTGATCTATTCGCCGAGCTTGGCAATTGGCTTGCAAACGCTGCGTCACCATACGAGGAGACATCACCAGTGTGCAGTTGAGTGGGTACTTCTTCCTTGCCCACATGCGTTTATATAGCATTCGAAGGCTACCTGTTGTCTTTTGACGTGATTGGCTACTTAAAATGTAACAAATTCAGTGGATCTATTGGTCCGTTTGTGATCTCTGTTGCGTTCTGGTCTGCGTTCCTTTGTATTGATTGGTTATCCCAACCCCTTCTACTTTTTGGTAGCTTGTTCTCTCCGGCCTTGGTTCGTATTGCAAGTCAATTGCCAAGCTCGGCGAACAGATCAACAGCCACCTGATCAACAACCAAGAGAATCAGGTTGTCAGCAACACGAAATGGCGAAAAACCAAACCAAATGAGTCATATCACATTTTGAGCGCATGGCTGGTTTTACTGCTGTCACAGTCAATTTCTGAATACGGACTGCTAAGCTTTGGAAAACAAGGCTCACCGGAGTAGCCAGGAGCAATGAGAGCACCCTAATGGGCCTGAGAAAGAAAGCTGAACCAAACCGAAAAGAATACCCGCGTTTTGAACAACTACGTCCGGAAGTTCGACTTCGTCCTTACTCGTCTTCGAATCATTCACACGTCGGTTTCTATCATTGCAGTCATCTCCTTCAGATCGAGGGACCCAATTTCCACGCCCCCTTTCGGGACTTTGGAAACCGGGATTCGAACAACCCCATCTTTCCACATTCTCAAACATTCCAAAACGGAACAATGGCACTGGCGGTGAACTTAGTCACAAGCTCAGCAGGTGGTCCATCGCGACCCGTTTCTGGCAGTTTTCGTGCGGCCATCTAAGAGTTTGCTTTGAAGTCATACCATACGCCGCATACATATTTCACGGTCACGTACATTCGGACGAGAGGTCGGAAGAACTGTCAACCAATCCCGCTTTGCTACAAGGTGTCCAGGGCCGGAAGTGAGCAAGTGCTGTTAATTCAAATTCCCACCCTAGGTTGGATAGTTAATGTTCCATTCAAAATATTTAAATAGTTATTGGAAAAAAACTGACAGATGGATAAACGGTTACTCACCAGCTTTTCCAGTTCATGACATTGTTGGGCGAGGGCCTCTTTTTGAAAAGACAAACGTTTGCACTCGTCCACAGCCGAGAGTAACTGTGAGGTGAACAAACGTAGACAAATTACTCATACGAATAAGTGCGAAAAACCATTGAAAAAATTGCCCACGGAAGCCGAAACGCTGGATTAAAACACCTTATTTCACTGAATTGTGTTTTGACTTCAAACACTCATGAGTATCAATCTAGACTACGTGGTGAGGAAAGTAAAATCACTCGGGTAATTAGTGTAAAACTAATGAAACTCGAGGACCCTAACTCGAGGTGATAGATACGGATGGAATCAGATGAAAAGGGGGAACAATTATCGCTCTCTGTACATTGGGAGTCACGTAAATCGAACCAGGCCACGCTAAGCCCCTCTGATAGCAGCCACATCACCATAAATATCTATTTTGGTAGCATCAAATGCCTCTAAGGACCAACCGGCATTCTGTAAGGGAATAACCCAAGCGAATTCGCTGCAACCCAACCAGATGCACTTATCAACTGAATGGAAAACGGAGACGTAGATAATCCACGAGATGATAACTTCCTGCCGGTTGGAAGAAACAGTTCTAATGCCTCTACCAACCGGCATTCTGTAAGGGAATAACCCAAGCGAATTCGCTGCAACCCAACCAGATGCACTTATCAACTGAATGGAAAAAAAACACGTAGATAATCCACGAGATGATAACTTCCTGCCGGTTGGAAGAAACAGTTCTGCGTACATCAAGCGCTGCGGACAGATAAAGCGGCGAACGTATGACCAAGTTGATGAACCGAGTAACTTGGAAACAGCAGGCAGTACAACGAAGACGATGGAACCAGCACAGTCGCCTGATGTGATTGGGACTAGCGCAGGGGACTTATCCAAAAGTGTAATAGACTCGAATGCAGTTCAGGCCCTTAGACAAGCGAACGAGTGAGTCCCGAAAGGTGTGGAAGACAGGATTAAACGAAAATTTTATGGTATGATTGAAAGTACGCTTCTGATTGACTGGTTACGACTGCAGAAAAAAAACAGCAGCGGTTGGTGAGGGTTTCGGCGATAACAACATCCAATTTCCACAGTAGTGATGGACGGTTTCACTATACTCCACTGCTTCCAGCCTTCAGTAGAGGCATTTTTGACGGGTTCCATGCAGCGATCAGCTTAGAAGGTTTGTATTGCATAAGAACTCACCCTGATGTGACGTTTTACTAATGTTTCGTCGCATGTAGTCGTACAAAGAACGAGAGAGCAGTAAAAGTGCCAAAACAGGTTGAACTCGCCCCATGTACATAGCATACCATATCAGTGCAGTAACTACCATCGCAGCAAGCAGAAATGTTCTAGTGAACATTGAGAATTTTGCTGAGAAAACACCCAGTACTCCTAGTACAACGAGGGTAGTCGTACGCATGAGTTGTGCCTGAACACGTGACTCAATATCATACCAGGACGAAGACCTCGTGAGATGGAAATCTGAGCGATCGATCGCATTATGGAAAGCAGACGAGAAAACCAGTGTTTTCATAGGCATCCTATTTACGTCCTCGCCAAAACACTATCGTTCGTTTGTGGACAAAGTGACCGTTGAAATGCGTTCGCACTTTGCGGGGTCGAAACAGATGCCCCTTAAGAACATTTAAAATAAAACCAAGTATCTTTTCATGAAGGAAACTACTCACAGGGTTGCTCAAAACTATTCGACAGTAACCTTGTGAGCAGTTTCCTTCATGAAAATATACCGCGATATCTCGAATATCGTGACAACTAAGACATGAGGCGGCATGTGTGCAGCAAATTCAGTTGTAGAATATCATAAACGACAGATTCCGTTGAGTCTCTCGTGAAAACCAAATTGATTTGCAAATGAGTGTATTTCTGGAAAAACCAAGTATCCTTCTCCACCGACTGGCGGAGATCAAGGGTCCATGGTTGGAGAGGGAGAGGATAAACAACCTTTGACAACCACACAAACGAACGGTGACACATGTACCATCATACCAAGCACAATAGACGGAATTTTCCGATAAACAGGACCGTCATTTTGTCTGTTTAGAAATGCCACCTCTCTACACGAACCACATGAGGGCGTTGGAATCGAAGTTCATGCGGAATTACTTTCGATTTCACCAACACCATTTCCGAGTTCAGGAACTCCCTCGTGAGCAACAAGCGGCAGAGGAGTGTACGATGCTGGAACATCACAAATTCGACTTTCGGCAGTGTAGGAAGGCATAGGTCATAACTAACACAGCCACATCTCCATGCATACGTATAATGCAACATCAGCTGCCCGACACCCGTACTACCAAGTCTCCAGTTGTGTTGAACATGACACGACGAAGGTATCAGACCTAGCATTAGCCCGTGAAAAACACGCGACAGGCAGACAATCTAGATTAGAACTTCTACCGACTTCGAACTGCCAACAAAGTGGCCTTATTGACCCCCAACCAGTTCACTGTTCTCCCTGTATGCAATGAAAAGACCTTCGGACAAAGACATTCCAGCGAGACGGCCCAAGTGGTAAGAGCGCAAATTTACTGACCGGAAGGTCCGTGGTTCGAACCAGACCTCCGCCTCTCGACTTCCCCTGTCTAGGCTTGGGCAACCTGGCAGTATCCCAGCCCTCGTGCTTCCTTCGGGTGGCATGGCAGCTAGGCACCGAAAGGGTGCTACAGCTGAACGGTTTTTATTCCAGCCTAGAAGACGTACTCGTTGGAAAACGAACCACGTAACTTGTCATTGATAGGTTTCGACGATGCCACTTCGTCCCACAGACAGCTGTCTCATGCGTGTAAACATTGTTACCGACTGAGAAGTCACTTGGTAAACAAGTGTTAACATGTCTCCGAAACTCCAAAGCATTCGTTACCCGTACGTTTTATCAAGGTATCTATTCTTAGGGTGCAGACACGGTCATCTTGCGGCCCCTACCCGGTGCCCACAAACTGTGTATCCTCATGTCTGGCTGAATCATAGGTACACCACGATTTCTGCCGTATCTCATGCCGGCTAATCTGTTACACAAAGGCCTGTTTTCAGACAATGAAACGGCGATCGACAATGAACCAATTCATATCCGCCCTTAAGATAAGTACGTGCGATAAAAAAACCATTTGCCACACCGCTATCACATCTCACGTCAGAACAATATCATTGCAAATTCTTCGCGTCAGCTCCCGATTGTCCTGAGGTACGAGAGTTGCGATAGGAGATGTGGATGAGGTGAGGGTACAAGGAGAGCATTTCAAGAGTAAATCTGAATCAGCTGTTTAACCAAGTTATACAAAAGAGAGCCATGAAGTTGGACTGTAGATTGATGTGGAAAAGGCGTGGATTTGCAAAGAATTTCGAATGTGGATTCAAGTACAAATAATGCAAAGGGAAAGACTAACTAACAGATTTCTTGGATGGGAGTCGAACCCGCGACCTCTTGCTTACCGGGCGATTGACATCACAAAAGAGCTATTTCCCAAGCTGTCCCGCGTCGCACAGGAGCACCGAAGTTCCACATTCACTCACCATACGTGAGACTTTGTTATCTAGCTTCATCCAAGAACGCAGACTCTCCGTTTGTATTACAAGTGCTTTGGACCATGTTCAAGAGCTGGATTTTGCAAACAGTTGTACTTCTATAACTTGACAGCAGCTGTTGTGCTCACAGCAGGCGATCATCCATACGGGAATTTCGAGAATAGTAACTGTCCCTAACATTGGAAACGACCCGGATCATTCGAAGTAACGCCAGCTGTCGCCCACTAGTTGGGTCGGTGAAAAATTCGACTTTTGCATTACATTACAGCGGGTTCTACTTGCCACGGAGGTTTCGGAAGAGAGTACGACTTATGAGACAAAGAAGAGGTCGTGTACCAAAGAAACCATCACGCCTTAAACAATGGATTACTTCTCATTACAGTAGCAAGAGAGAGATCGTTCGGTTGAAGCGCCCTTTCAGTGCCTAACTGCCATGCCACCCGAAGGTCACACGAGGGCTGGGATACTGCCAGAATGCCCAAGCCTAGACAGGAGAAGTCGAGAGGCAGAGGTCTGGTTCGAACCACGGACCTTCCGGTCAGTAAATTCGCGCTATAACCACTTCGGCCATCTCATTACAGTGAACGCGGTGCGCCTAACACAGGATTGCAGATATTTGACAGCCCGCAGTAAAACCAGGTTTGTGTTTCACCGAAAAAACAAGGTAATAAAGAAAGACAAACCGAGAGGGATGGTTTGTCAAATCAATCCTTTCCCCGGTAAAACTACCATCCTCAGGTAAAGATCGCTTTCAGGGTTCATCAAGTGCGGTCAGTATCCGAGGAATGATAATGCATCGGAAATGAAACGTGAGGCATAAGTCTCACGGTACGACCTAGAAGATTGACAAACACAGCCGAACTATACTTCGATTCGTAAAAACGGCCATAGAAGAAACCGTGCTTGTTTCTTAGAAGGAATGTCGCTGGGGATCAAAGATGTTTCTACCTTGGAGTATCGATTACTTGGAAGTAGAGAAAAAAAGCGTTCAGCTATAGCACTCTTTCGGTGCCTAACCGCCATGCCACGCGAAGGAAGCACTAGGGCTGAGATACTGCCAGTTTACCCAAGCCTAGACAGGAGAAGTCGAGAGGCAGAGGTCTGGTTCGAACCACGGACCTTCCGGTCAGTAAATTCGCGCTCTAACCACTTGGGCCATCTCGCCCCAGCATTAAGTGAATAAACCAACATATGTAGGCTTGTGGCTGATGACTGTGAACATCCTGGATGAACGACAACAGTAGGCAGCATGAATCAGACATGACCCAGCGAATCGACCGAATGCGCTTCGACTTCACCCTGTTTCTTCCCCGAACATTGCTGCAGCATTGCTCCAAAGTGAACAATTTCTATCTCTAAACACCTGCCGATAGACGTTACGAATTCAACCTAGCGGGCAGAATGATCTGTTTCTGCGAGAATGACGGTGTCTTTAAGTTCACGGGTAAATTTCCGACAGAGTTCTACCAGGTATCAAGAATTCCAGTAGTACTCCTTGAAATTTATGAGTCACACTCGTGGGGGTTTGCGAAAACAGACCTGAGGTACATACACACACCCACATGAAGTCATGAAATGAATCGTCAACTTGCTGTTACAACAGCTTCGTTCCGAAATAGAAGACAACCCGTCACCAAACCTTAAGAGCTACACCTTTTAAGGGTCCACAGCAAGGTTTACGGTTCGTAAAGGTTTCATGTGAACCCTATTACCGTCGGTACTCATCAAAGCGATGAGAATTGCCTACACGGTTCACCTCATTTCTCAGCATACTGTAGGACTAGAGTGATGATATCGGTATTAAATCAAGAGATGATATGTGTTCAACGGCTAAGACCCCACTTTGTAGTGCTCTGCAGAATAAGAGGAATAGATTGCGTAACTATGACAAAAATAAGAGACACAAGTAGGTATGGTTGTCCTTTTGATGACAAACTGATGTAGAACGGACATGGAATAAAAACGTGAATTCAAAATCGTGTTTACATAATGCGAGCACCCTGGGATTCGAATGGCAATGTCTCGAGTGATGTGGTTCGTATTCAAGACTGTAAAACTCCTCGTTTAGTCCGCAACAATCCGAACCCATAGCCGTAGACGATATCAACGTCTGGCCTACACGAAATGCCGCATGAGAAGCCAACTGATGATGCTGACAGATTTCAGCGGCTAAGTCCATTAGGCAGAGGTGTGACGAATGAATATGGAACGGAAGAGTTGACGCAGGGTTGACGGAAGCTCAGTCGGTAGACTATTCACCAAGGAAGCGAGACGCCGCAGGTTCGAGTCCTGTCCTCTGGGGGGGGGGGAGGTTTCTATTCGTCTGCATTGTGTTTGTCTATGTTCGTATTTAAAAATCAAACCGAAGAACACACCATTCCTGGTGGGCAATTTTTTTTATGAAGTTCAGGCCACCAAAAGATACTTCTTGTTTAGTGAAATACACGCATTTGCACACCAATTTGGTTTTGACGGGAGACTTACCTGAAACCCAGCTGATCTCCTGTTTAGAAGAAGATTCAACTGGGCTCTAGCTGAGTCTCCCGTCAAAACCAAATTGGTAAAAAAATGCGCCTATTTCGCTAATTTCGTGAAAATTTGGGTTCAAGCAGAACATAAGGTTGCAAGAAAACTCGGGGACTGCACCTACCTGTCCCAAGAAGGACGAAACCGGTCGTTGGGCTGTCGAGGAGTTTTCAGAAAAATTACGAGTATTGTATTACGTCTTTACTTCCTGCTAGTTCCGAAGCATCCTGAATGTCTCTCATAGTATTCAGGGGTTCTCGTAAGAGAGGAGTACGGAACCAAGAAAGCGGATTTGGAAGAGACACCATTAGGGAAACGTAGATCAAGCAATCCAGTCTGAGCACAGGTCGACCATATAGTCTGGTCTAACGTCTGTTAGAAACTCGCGGGTAATTAAACTTGTGAGCAGCAGAAAGATATTGGAGCGATCACTTTACAGAAATGAATATCCCGCGGAAGGGACACACCACTTTCAGTTGGCCTCTCAAGGCGTATTCCCAAGGTAAACCACATGGTGCAAGAGACCCCCATTTGGCCAATCCATTTTGGTGGTATCTGCAGAGCGGGGCACCCGTATTGAAGCAAACGACACGCGGAATATGGCAGGAAAAACACATACACCACAGGAGAGCCAAAGTATTTGAGACAGGCCGTCGGAGTGAAAAGGGGGAACAGCCAATTAGAGCAAAAAATCGAAGTATCAGCACCATCGAAAACAGAGCCAAAGAGCTACGATACAACACGGTAATGGAAACACGAAGAGCAGGGATGAAACAGAGGACCCGGGATAGAAGCTAACTTACAAGTTCGTAGTGAGATGCGCCGTATGGCTAGCGGTTATGAAGAATGCAACAAGGAACAGCATGAACAACTAGGAATCGCGCGATGACAAATGATCTCATGTCACATCGACCGACACGTGGTGATGCTATCAGCCCCGTCCTCATATTTGCTGCATACAGTGGGGCGTCACCACATCCCAGAGGCAACATAATTCTCCGTGTACAGGGTAACCTAGACATCCGTGGTGGAAGAAGACCGCATATTGTGACACTGATACCAAGAAACGATTTCCTGCAATCCTCAGGGCAGAGGTCTTGTTTGATAGGGGTCGTTACGCTTCCTGCACTACTCTCAACATCCTCTATTCTGTGTCCAACAACATCCAAGTATTGTCTACCACTCCAGTTTGAAGACGCCCGAACAACTAAGAATTTCGATCACATCACTCTCGTATCGACAGTTCTCCTTCTATCCTGGCGAACTGATATTAGTGAGTCCACACTGAAAGGGTGGAAGCACTGGACTCGAGTGTCACTTTTATTAGACCTGATCAGCAGTGCACAGTTTGAATTCTGAACATTTGACATGCGAGAAGAGCAGGTATCCGGAGGCCAGCCAACCCTAATAACCGAACAGCACGTCAATTGGACGGATGAGGCAAGTGTGGGCCACGGACCAAACGAAGGCTGCCCTGATTGGTCAGAATGCCAGCCAATCGGTATCAAGTATCTTTAGCTCGACGCTTCTCGCCCCGTCACGAGGATCCTAGCACGAACTTGTGAAGCATTCTGTTGTAATAATCTCCCTTTGTCTCCATAAAGGGGTGCCTGAAGCTATCGGGCTTTTTGATACACCATAGTGGGAGGAGGATGAAGCCAAGGACCGACACAGAGTTGCACGACTGTTCACCAAGGCGAAACAGCAAGTTACCGCTACTAGACCAGCGTTGGCTGGACCCACTTGAATCATCACATGCGCCACGACAGAAGGGGGGACTGTTCGAACGGCAGTGATGTGAATCGAATCCTACAAATCTCACCTACAACTAACTGCGGATTTGTTACAATCAACGATCCCCACATCAGTCTGCTCAAAGCTGTCAATCAAGATCTACCCACCGATTTGTTCTGATCCATTTCGTTCCCCGATTTCAACAGACTCCCTGAGACGAGTGGATTTTAGCGATGTGGCGTTTACATGCCCTTCTTAAGTTTAACTCTGCAAATTCACCTCAACATACATGAAAATTTTACTTGAGTTGACCAAACAAGCCCAATGCATCAAAAAACCACGAGTGGGACTTAGCTCCAAGGTGAATCGATGAGACTTTCTTCAGACAAGAAAGCCAGTTCGACAAAGATCGAATGACAACAAATCCACAAGCGGGAAAACAATGTGAATAACTTACCTGGCCGTCTCCACTAGTCTGAAAGACATCTAATGTTGCTGTGTTCAGGCGAACGGATGAAGTCATCAGCTGCAAATTGATAATAACAAGTTTGTTGAAAGCAAACAGAGCCCAGTTAACGAAAACCGAGACTAGAAGAGCATGAGCTGGTGAGAGCACACTGACCAATAGGAATTGCCCACATATTGGGTGACCGATCATGTGATTGCTCACGGTACAATGAAAACACAAGAGCCGCACTGAGTGCGTCGGTGGGTGCAGAATTCCGTTTGTAGTAGACGCACAGGTTGTAGGAGTGTGTACATTTTCCGTCATGAAAACACACGCACAGATATAGTGCAATGTAGCTCTACTTCTGTGAAGAGTGCACAATAAAGTGGGCGTGACAATTTGCGCCGCACAATGATTCACAATTTTGAAAATTAAGGGAGCTGTAGTGTAGAAAAATTAACCTTCGGTTGAGGTCCGAACACTGAATTCCATATTCTCACTAGAGTGCGAAGATTATCGTTCAGCCGTAATATCCTTCCAGTGCCTAGCTGCCATGCCATCCGAAGGGAACACCAGGGCTGGGATACTGCCAGGTTGCCCAGGGAAAATCGAGAGACAGACCTTCCGGTCAATAGATTCGCGCTCTAACCACTTGAGCCATCTCGCAAAGATTATCGGCTGCGGTGAAAGGTGTCTGGAGAAGAGAGAGTTATTTCAACGGGGTGCGATACCCTTCCATGTGACCTAACCATTCGCCTGAAAGCAGTATTGTTTTACGACCTCGAGATAGATCGTTGTTAAAGGAGCGAACTTACTGATTGGAAGGTCCGTGTTTCCAACCCGACCTCTGCATCTCGATTGCTCGTGTCTAGAATTGGGCAACCCTCGTGTTTCCTTCGGATGGCATGGCAGCTAGGCACCGGAAGGATGTTACGGCTGAAAGTACGGTTTTGAGTTCTTATTGCAATAATCGTTCATTTTCACACAACTAAGCAAACACACCGGACACACGAAAGAGAGATGTGCATGGTCCTAGGGACGATTCGAACGGAAAATGGACTTTTGGGGGACGATCCAAGAGGTAAGAGTGCGGAGGCGGATAGTGTCAAAGAAAGAATGAAGACTAAATATTCCATAGATAAATAAATGAATGGTTAGGTCTGTACAAGCTGTTTGTAATTTTGTTTTACAAACTGACATTGGTAATCTATGTATGCTTCATGAATAAACAAAATTCCGAGAGATTGATAGTTGTGAGAAGTTCCACGAGCGAGGTCCTTCAGGTCCCACTGGAAATCACCCTGCCGTTTCAATAGGAAATTCTCTTCCTCTTTACAGTGCTGTTCTGATATTCATCAGCGAAACAAAAAACTCGAAAACATCCTAGGAATATAATATAATAATCGTCCAGCTGCAACAACATTTCGGTGCCTAGCCGCTAAGTAACTTGAAGGAAGCAGGGGGGCTGAGATACTGTCAGGCTGTCCAAGTCTGGACAGGAGCAGCCGAGAAGCAAAGGTCGGGTTCGAAACATGGACCTTTCAGGAAGTCAATTTGCTCCTTAACGACCGGGCAGTCTCGAGCATTGGAGGAGGACAGAAGGCGGTACGGAACAGGTCGCTGTAGAGAAGTAGCTGGCCCTGAACAACACGGTTGAAGGGGTAAAGGCCTATTTGAAAGCGGAGTCCAAAAAAAGACATGAAAATGAACTAAGGTGACGCACTTGTTGGATGGCTTCCATGAGCACGTGTTGAACAGACTCTTCCAGGTGCATAATAGCCTCTATGTAGGTGCTTTTATTCTCGCAGTTGACCGCGCAGCCGAGAACAAGCTGAAGCAGACGGAATGCTTCATCTTCTGCGTTGTACTCGGCTAACAGAAAAGATGTGGCAAACACGAAAGGTATGCGTTGAATAGAGAGAAGTTCAGCAATAAGGCAACAATCCAATAATCCATTAAAAATGAAAAAACACGGGTACGAGCAAGTAAGATTTCCTAAATTGATTTGCAGTTGTCGACGATATAATCCAGATGTAAGGCCGTCCAACATTCCGCAAAAAGAATGTGGGGCGATGAGGATAACCACTCCGATTTAGTGTCTTTTGTCTTGACAGTGCAATCGCCACACGACCAAGTCAATTTCGCTAGCAGTCATATAGAATGAATATTGAAACGAAAACCCGTCGCTTCTGACCACTGATTACAGATGGGCGGTGCTCGAGTAAGGTGAGAATTTTAGATGCATACTACAATAGACGATTAACTCGTTGGCTATGTGGTAAGCTGATCAAGCCGCGTATTTCGCACGGCAGGATTATCCGTTCCGCAAATCTCGTTTGCCCGATCAGCCGCTGAATACAGACACTTCTAGGGGGTCACATTAAAGCCTGTAAGTAAGGCAAGTAAGCCGTCGCCAGCAACCTCAGGCGCGTTAGCAGCTTGGGTCCCTCTGAGAAGAGAGCATTGGGATGTAGAAACAACTGGAAGGGTGAGCTCAAACCTTAAAAACAAAGACATTCACGAACCAGAGTTGTTGATAGGACTGAAGGTCGTACGATTGTTCTTGCCAGTTGCTGTCTATACTGTTCGGAACCGTGGCAAACCTATTATTGATTTCGCTACCAGTGGTGAAGCATCGGTACTATCTACTGAGATTCTTTCAGTAGTCACGATGGAAAAAGTAATCAGTCTCAGTGCATCGATACTTGCAGAACCCTCTGGAAGAATACAATAGTCCCAAAAGACGCTAATTTAATAGAAAGGTCAAACAAATGATCCTCTTCAGCCAATGGCTGGTGTGAAATCGTCCTGAGAGAGGCCAGAAAGTCCCTTCGATTGTCAAAGACGGGGTCGAATATTTTCTTCACTGTCTTTGGTGCATAAGAACTTGATGAAGCTGGGACCATGGGACTCTGGTACAGTGTTCCTCAAGGAAGAATTACCCACTTGAGGGTATCGCAACAGTGCTCTGTTGATTAAAAACGTTCTCAGATTAAAGATGACTTCCCCAGAAGCTTCTTGTTCTGTGGACTCCCGCGCCAAAACCCCATGACCGCTCGCAATTAGGCGCTGCTACGGTTGCCCGCACATGACTGGCCAGAAGACCGACCGCTTGCCGGTTCGGCATCCAGACCAGCGTTGACTAGCCGAAATTGTGCGCTGAATACCGGCTGCCAACGGCGGCCAGAATGTCATGCTCTCATACACTTTAAATAAGAAGTGCTGTACATGTGTTTTTAGCCCGGTTCTGGGTGTTCATCGTATACTTTGTGGACCCTGGGTGGTCCTACTGCTGGAAATATTAGCCTGGAAGGATTAGACCAACAACTGAGCTGAGGAATTACCGTTATTACACTTCTTTTATGGTGATTATGTACAGTGGAACGTAATTTGAACGTATGGCGATCTCTCTTTTGACTGACCACTCTACTAATAGTGGAGTTCCTGGCGGAACTTCGCCAATTCGCATTGTGCTGAAACGTAATCCGCCTAACTCTACCGGGGACCGCTTTGAAACACACGGCTATATCGTACACCGATCATAAAACGCGTGTACACGCTTCAATTTGGTGCAAACTTTCCAATTTTGCTATACTAACCAGGTGAATTTGTGAGCCACGGACATCATGGTGTGTCCAAAAAACCCCCACGGGCAAAAAAGCTATGCACCAATGATAGTTCGACCTCATGTGGTACGAACTCACTTTCAGAAAGATCAGACTAGACGTGGATTTCTAAACACACAAACGATTAGCTATGAGTTCACCTTAAAGACCATCACTGTGATTGCTCAACCAACTGAAATCAGTGTCAAACAGGTCACACTAGATAGAGTGACCCAAGAGAATTTGATTTTGTGTATCACTATCCTAAAACCGACGAGGCCTACATAACAATACAACAGAAAGGTGGCGGCCTACAAAGTAAGTCCCAGAGAAGAGAGAGTCGCCAAAAAACCATATTATCAGCAAAACACACATACAACCTGTGCAAAACTACAANGTCCAAGTCCATGCAATTTCGCATTCAATTTAACGCATCTGTGATGAGAGAAGCAATTAGATGTTTTGGTATTCGTTGAGCATCATTAGGCCAGTACAAGTTCAAGCTATCCACCAAAATGCTTTTAAACTTAAGTGGCGCTGTTGCGCAACGCGAGTGTCAGGGATCTGTTAACTGACGTGACTACTAATCTGCTGTAGAAATATAAACAAAACTGACACACATACGGTAGCACTCACAGACCTGACACCTATATGATCAAGTGCTATTGCGATAAAGTAGGCTTTGAGATACACTGCGCACTTCCATCGGAGCGATAGTCAAAATGGTGTTCCACCAGTGCTCATGGATTCTACGAAAACCCAATGTCGGTCTCACTCTTCTCAGAGGTCATCATGTAAGTCACCGACAACGCTAGCCTGAACACTAAACTGCGCGAATGTTGCGATAAACGCACGTCTGCAAACTGACTTGATATTGGCAAGTGACTCAGCTGAGTTTTACCCGTCTAAATCAGTAGTATTGAAAGTGACAGGGCCGATGTCCGACTTTTATCCTTCGGTCAAATGCGTTTCTGTTCAAAGCCCGCTCGCCCACAATAAACCCTTGATCTCTGGGGTACCCAGGAGTGAGTAGATGATAAATGAGTGACTTTCAAATGAGGTTCCACAGATTCAATAAACCGTCCGAGCATCTTTTTAGTGTATGGGTATTCAAAAGGTGAATTAAGCATTCTCGCTATCAAAAGTAGAGGAAAGGCCGTCAACCATTCAACTAACCTATCGAAGCCAAGTTTGGTAGCGGCCTCACGAGAATGGATTCATCGGGGACCTTGAAAATAAATGATAGGCAGGGGAAGGTGTTCGTGAAAAACAAAATAAAACGGAGGGAGCGAAATCGACTTGAGTCCTGCTTCTGAAACTGAAGTGAAAACGTAAGCAAAACGCTGGAATAGGCGGGAAAAATACCAAACAGCGGTATCTGATTACCGGTTAACAGCACAGGCGCTATTCGTTCGTGTTGAATTGTCAGAAGGACTGTGGTAGTTGTACAAATTCTCCGCCGGTCTTTGAGTGTCCTTGTGAATTCTAATGTGTGTCAAAATGCACAAAGAGGTGAGGTAGTGTGAAGTCGGACAGGATCAACTGTAACACCCTTGCGGTGCCTAGCTGTCATGCTACCCGAAGGAAGCACGAGGGCTGGGATGCTGCCAGGTTGCTCAAGCCTAGACAGGGGAAGTCGAGATGCAGAGGTCGGGTTCGAACCACGGAACCCTCCGGTCAGTAAATTCGCGCTCTAACCACTTGAGTCGGACAAGGTGTGGATACAACAACTGTAATTATATAAAAAACATCACAGAAGGATTTACAAAGGCACCGGAGAGTTTTCGTGACAAGACGAGAAGTACCGGGCAATAAAGATTTGATTCGGGTTAGTCCATATTCTGGCCAATCAGAGCACGGCTCCTCTAGTCCCTAACCATTTAGCCAGGCATCCAGTTAGCGTAACTTTCATCCAGCAGAGGCTGCTTGTCTCGCGATAAGACAAACCTCAAGAATGAAGGTTTATTGATTTGAGACTTGGATTAATTTGTTCGTCACGTTCCGGAAGGTCTTCAGCTGTGCGCGAAACGGCATCACGTCAATTCCAGGCAGGAAGGTCTCATCAGATCCTTCAGATAGGCGGGCGAGAGCTAGGTTCAGGAAGGGGTCATACGTTGTGACCGTAACAGGCCTCATTTAGGTCTAAACAAGCACCGGTAAGAGGGGCTTCGGGCAAACAAACCACCCGACAATGCGCCATCTTCCCACCGTAAACAGGAGCTTTCAAAGCGCGTATTCCTTTACAAGCCATGCCTACATCTGTTTGTATATTATTCCATCCAAACCACTTGGAGGACACACAGCTCATAGGGTAAAACAGTATTCGAAAAATTGAGACTGGATTTCGAATCAACGGCCATTCGCGCGGTAGGTGGGGCGGTAATATGTGAGTTACCAGAGCTCCAAGGTATGCGCAACCCTAGCATCAAAATTTAACTTCCAATCACGACATAGGGGGAGAGCTTACTGAGAGGCTTTTCAGTAATATAGCGGAGCATCAGCAAATAGAGCGGGACAACCGAAAATCCCCGAAGGCGGCCGGAGACCTGGATCGCAAAGCCTGCAGCCTTGTATGCACGCAACAAATATTTTACACTACTCACCAAGTAACAGTAGATCAAAGATATACAGAAAAAACTACACGACAGCAGCACGATGGGGGCCAACTCACTTGAGCCAGAAACGTCTCAACCGCACATGCGATATGTTCCAAATTCTTGATCTGGAAACAGGATGGAAACAACTGTGAATGAAACACCGCAACGGTGAAAGAAGCGACGGAAGTCGTGCTGTCGTATGTGGGGCTAGCATTGAATGACAACAGATGGGACTGAAAAAAGCAGTAATGTGCCAGGGTTGTTTACTTCATCAACCGGCCATTCATTCACTGTTCCGCGTGAGGCACATTTGCCAAAATAAACTAGGTGCGAACATTCCCGCGCACTGAATGAACCTAGCCGCTTCTGGGACGATCCGATGGGTTTACTACAGTTTTCCCGTTGATTATTTAAAGATCCGAAATCACTGTCTTTGAGGAAAAGTCGGGAATTTCCATGAGAATAGAACACAGAATTTCAAAGATATTTCGCTACTGCTTTCGCCAGGATGTGGAAAATGCACTGGAAGACCGCCGCACGTTGCCACTGCACTTATCGTCTGCTGATTGATAGTACGGATTTAAAGGTCAAAGCAATTTATGTGGGTGTAACGAGGTTACCGAAGAGGAAGCAAAGAAAATTATATAACAACAGTCATTCAGCTGTAACACCCTTTCGGTGCCTAGCTGCCATAACACCTGAAAGAGGCATGAGGGCTGAGATACTGTCAGATTGCTTAAGGCTCCCGCCTCTAATGCGCAGCTACCTACCCTACCTCTCCAAATCATCCACGGACGAAATTGTGGCAGCTACAAGCACTGTACGACATGCACACGGTTCTTACAGATAATAATAACAATATTGATGGATGCCTAAACCTAGATAGGAGTATTCGGGATACCGGATTGGGTTCGAACCATGGACCTTCCGGTCAGTAAGTTCGCGCTTCAACCACCGAGCCATCTCGGGCGAAACTTGAGTCGAGTATTGCAGTACTCACCAGAATGATTGCCAGAGCAGGGGGGATTGTTTAGGTGAGAGGTATGTGAACGTAAATCCCGCAGCCACCTCGAACTAACTGAGGACCAATTTGCGCTTGTTGTATGGGCAGACTACCTGCTCATGTTGATTTTCAGTTCATCGATATTGTAACGAGCAATTCGACTGTCTAATCGCCTGCAGGTAGAACTAAAACTGGTTTTCATCTTCGGCATCAACTATAAAACTGACCGGCTTAATTAAATCGTCCCAGGAATGACAAAACTGTAATAATTTGCTGTCATTAAAAGTACATAATCGACATAACGTCCGTAAAAGTTACACCTAATGAATGACTGTTGAGAAAACATGACCAACAGTGCAAAACAACCGCGAATATCAAATGTGAGTAACGTACGTACTTCTATACAACTCCCTTTCGAGCGGGACTTTCTAAGCAGGCAAGTGTATAGCTACAACGAGCATTTCTATTGGCCATTCAACGCAGCCAGCTCGGCACAAAGGTCACAACTTCAAGAATCACCCACAAAAGCTTTACACTCCTGACCAAAAACATCTCAAAAATGAAAATAACATGACTGATTCCATGAGAAATGTGTCACCGTGGTTGTGCCTTGACTACATCACAAACACATCAAAGGCCAGAGAATGCAGCGTGTGCAAGGGTCCCCTTAATTTTTCGGCATTCATCGGTCGAGTAAATATGACAGATATTAGACGGACAACATTGGTCTGTACATTCCCCACTGCCCCACAGGTTCGGCGCATACCTAAGATGAAGGTGACTGAGTTTATGGACGGTCGACAATCTGGTCAAATGATGATGAAATTGGTCCAAAGTATTCAGAAAAGAGCTCATTCATCGCTGGCATCATCCGACATTCCATAAACAGAAACCTGCACTATATACGCAAGCAACGCGTCCCTAAAACAACCATGAGGACACGGTCAAGTGAGTTCTGTTAAGGCGCAGTCCGGTGCGCCAAAGTATCGTTCAACGGCACGCAGTTAAAAGGACGTGTTGGCATGGTGACCGGCAGCACAAAACGTACCGATCAGCTTATAAAGACCGGACGGTGTGCCGTTGCGCAAATCAGAACATGCCATCAGTGAGTGACAGAGATATGCACTATAGTGGCGAGAACAATTGACGTTTAGACGCCAGTTGATACACCAGCAATGTGCGCGTAACGAGACAAGGTTCAACATAACATATCGCTGAGGTAGTCCGTACAAATTAACCAAGTTTCGTTTAAAAAGTTGAGAAAAAAATAGGAAAAATTCGATCCGATCAAGACCACTGCCTGTATTTACGAGCAACAACTTTCCGTAGTGGAAACCCACTCAAACTCCGGTCAATCTCGGGAAGAATACTGCCCAACGGCTACCTGAAATGGGCGATCATAGCACAATTTAAATTTGCTACTCATCACATTCAATCGAAGTGGCCACGCTCAATTACGCAGCGCTTTTCCAATGAACCGAAGATGGCCTCTCAAACATAGCTTCGGCGGTATCCCCATCATCATAGACAGCACATCAGTGTTCGAACACTGATGATTCGCTTGCGTGTCAAGCCAACATCGTTGACACAGGGGCGAGCGGTTAGAGTGCGGATTTACTGACCGGAAGGCCCGTGGTTCGAACCCGACCTCTGCCACTCGACTTTCTCTGTCCAGTCATGGGCAACTTGGCAATATCCCAGCCCTCGTGCTTCCTCCTGGTGCCATGGCAGCTAGGCGCCGAAAGGGTGCTACAGTTGAACGATATTTCGCTGTCCAGTACGGTAGTAGTAAGTAATAAGCGATAAGCGTTCAGCTGCAACATCATTCGGTACGTAGCTGCCGTTTAACCCGAAGGAAGCACGAGAGCTGCGATACTGTCAGGCTGTCCAGGCAGGAGCAGTCGAGATGCTGACGTGGGTTAAATTAAGTGGAATCATCTCGACACAGTCAAGCCATAAATCGGACCTGGTGCAATTCTTTCCGCAAATCAGTAGTTTTCACCCATCGTCATAAAGCGCAACACTAGTGTTGCAATGGGTCACAAGACTGTTTCGCATCCTTGGATTCGGTAGATTTGCGAACTTTTTCACAGTAAATTTAACTGGTTGCCGGCGAACATCAGATCGGAAGGCATCGTGAACCGCGGTCTGGGTAGCCGCTTGGTCGCCTGGTGCGCTTGACCAAACCAGAAAAGTCAACGAACGTGCGAGCCAGCTGCTCTGTTGATCACTGTCGCGTACAAGCGGGTCAAAAGTGATACTAAGACTACAACTCATCCGTCAAGGACGAGTGAAGAACAACCAATGAAATCTGTCTCAACGAAAAAGGCCGTTCAATTGACTGCTATGTAGTCCTGTTTCGTTCGAAGATGGTTCTCCTAATAATGGTGAAATATGATGAACATATTTTGGACAGAAGAGAATCCATCATATTGGCAAACCAGGAACCGCATCTTCGAATACGAACACAGGCGAATATCACGAAATCAATAACCAGTAACGTACCATGGTGAGTCTCTGAATGACCACTAGAACCGCCACTACAACAATAATGAGATCCGTGGAACGCGTTATGTTTCTCACCAGCATCTCCCTCCCACGGTAGTTTTCATCTCAGAATAGCGTCTTACAACACCCTCAGGCGTTCCGAGCAGCAATAATTCGAAAAAAGAACACAGTTCACTGCGTAGCACGCAGTAGATTTTGTTAAACAATAGGTGCTTCAATTTGCCTACAAAATCCACATCAAACTCGTGGTTCGCGATGAGCAGTTAGAACTGTTCTACCTGAACTTATGGGTGGTAGCTAGGATGGTAGCATCCGTTTAAGTTAGGTGAGGCAGTCTTAGATGCGGGTTTCTGGACACCAGCATATATCGGTGAAGAGGGTATCATCGTGTGGACCGAGACTGATTGTGTACTAAAAATCTCAGCGTGCATGCGATGCCCGTTTGAATGACGTGTCAGGAGAAACTCAGTAGGTTTGCCTTGGTTACTGTCACTTGTCGATAGTGATAACGAGTGAAGGTTCAATGGAGTATCAGCATTCGGAACGCGAACAGATGGTACGATACGGTCGGATCGGAATGCGTGAAACAGAAAGAACATAAACGCGAGCTGAGGCCTGAAGCAGAAAGATCAGAGTAGGTCAGGCATACGTTCACTTGCAAAATTAGTCAATGTTAGTGAGAGATTTAAATGAATCCCATCTGGATACCTCGTTCATGATAGGGGTGGAAACTCGCGGAGTACGCCCACATGATGAGCCTCAAGAAGGGTGAAGCCGATAGTGGGCTGTCGGGAGGTTTTCAGCAACTTTATAAGTAGTGTTGAAGACTGTCACCCAAATACAATCGTGGTGAGACTGGATTGGACACGTGCATTTGACACTGAACAACATACATTCACACTGTATCGACGATCTCAGTGACACAAGTGGTGGGGCATTTCAAATCACAAAAAGATACCAACCTGACCGAAAGGGTTCACACGCTGCTAACTTGAAAATTCTTCATTCTAACTCAATAACCTGAGACGGGAAGTTCTGACCAGATAGCGGCTACCCAGTGCTGGATGATCTGGCTCAATGTTTTCCCCTGAGAACTCCCTTTCGGAAGCTGTCCCCCTCTCTACCCAGTGTGGGAGGGTGGAGTCATAATACGCTCTTTAGGTTGTACTCTATTTGGGATTACTGCAATGGCATCTTAAGCCTTGTGGTTTCCATGAGTTGCGAATTGGCTATGCAAAGACAGGGAGTTGCGACCAGGCACCGTGCTGAGTCAGCTAGACGACGTTCAGTATGACTGGTTTTGCTTTTCTTCAACCGGTAAATTACTAGAGTTTAAGCGGATAGGCCGAAAACTGCAAGTCAGAAAGCAGAACAGATATATCAAACTGTTGTACCGGTGTAACCAGATTTGAAATCAACAACCACTGTGGACGGACATTATATTATATCCGAAAACCGGAATAGGCCAGCTGTGAGTAGATAGTAATTACGGAAACTCACACAGTATGGTGTTTGAACAGGTGCGCTGACACGAATGTCCACTATATGGGACAGAAAGTTTGCATTGAACGGTGGTTGGACGAGTTTGGGGAGATTTATGCCACTAGTGGAGAAACCCGCGAAAGCGAAGACGCCGTATGAAACAAGACTGCTATCTTTTCTGAAGCTGGTATCTACTCGAAAAGGATCAGCTAACTTTAGATAGTGGTTACCGTCACGAAGAGACTGAACCTTACTGTGGTGTGGCGGTTTGTGTACCTCGGCGACCCATTGAGCTATACTGGGGAGTGTCCGCACGATGATCACAGAGTCTCTCATACCAGGTTGCTCCATGGGTAGAGGTCCGACGAACACAGTCTCACGGCCCTCCAGGATGGGGGTTGGAACATGTATGGCAACGTGTTCCGTAAAAACTAGGAACGCTGTTCTGATCTCGCTCTCTCACTCTCATCGAGAGGCACTTTACACCAACCTTTGAGCCCAAGAATAAAGCTTCTAACTCGCTAGAATGTTTCGCACAGCATGTTTAGTATGCTGACTGAAACGGATCCATCCTATAGTATTTTCTGATTGTCCTGCAATCAAATTGGACAAGTTTCCCTCATTGTTCTTATGCCCAGTCTCCGTGAAGTGTAAAATGACTTATACAAAAAGACCAAAGGCCAACATTATTGGATCAAATGGGATCGTGGATTGCTTGAACTCACTTTAATGCTGGGTGTGATGTGTCCTCCTGTGCGTAGCTGACCCAACCATTCGGGTGAGAAGTGTTTTGGGGAGCTGGAAAACGGAGTAGGTAGTG